CGATCGTCGGTAAAAAAATCGCGCTTGCGGATGCCGTCAAAGCGCATCACGCAGTCATCGAAAGTAAGGCTTTTGGCAAGATCGTTTTGGAAATCTGAAAAAGAAAAGAGCGTAGAAATTTCTACGCTCTTTTCTTTTTTCGTAATGTTTTGATTTTATTTGGCGACCTTCACGCCCATCAAACGTGCCGGATAGGTTGCAAAGTTTTCTATCTCGACCTGATATTGACCGTTTTTACCGTCTTTATCCCAACGCACTCTGGCGGCGGCGATGTATGTGCCTTCGCCTTTGCCCGTTTTCGGGTCGATAAAAAGTTCGATCACGCCGAACGGGTAGTCGAGCGAACGATAACCGCCGCGAAGCTCGGCAAATTGCGTCCAACGTTCAAAAACGACAAAGATTCGGCGTTTTCCGTCAACCGTGCTCTCGCGCACGAAATTGATCGGAACACCGACGTTTGCGCCAATCGAAAATCTTCCCAAATCCTGTTTGCTGATTTCCTTCAAAACTGAATCTTGTCCGCCTTCGCGCAACAAATCCAAATATCTTTGCGTGTCTTGGTCAGACGTGGTTCCGTTGATATTCAGTGAAAATAATGCGCTTCGGGTGCGCGTGTCGAAACCGCTCCCGAAACTGATGACGGTTCCTTGCAAAACTTCCTTAGAATTTTGCGCGAATGAATTTTGTGTAAAACCCAATGTCAAAAATAATGCGAATACGGCAATATAAAATTTAACGTTCTTCATTTCTTAACTTCTCCTTGCTCAACATTTTTCGTAACGAAATGATACGAATTGTTTTGTCTGTAGTTGAGAAACGCAAAATTCATTCCAAGTTGTCTGCGAAAAAATAATTTATATGTTAAATTTTTGGGTGATGAAAAATGCCGAAGAATACGCCGCAATCATAATGAACGACGACCGCGAAAAGATCGTCAAAGAAACACCGACCATTTACAACGACGATCAGATCGAAAGAATCTACGAATTTGCCGACGGCGCAGTTATCAAATACGAATGGCAATCAACGCCCGACGGCAGAACGTCGCCCGATGAAAAATTCAATCACAGGTTTTCATTGATAAAAACGCCGAAACCGAACCCGCACAAATTGAAAGAGGGAATAATCAAACAAACAAATTATCCGAAAAGCTGATGTTTTTTTTATATCAGCTTACATTCGCCGTTTCGCGCCGCGCTTTGAATTCGTCCAAAACATCGAAAACCTGCAACGCGTATTTTACATTTCCGAACGGTGCGGAAACCTGCACGCCTGCGATCACATCCCGAACTTCCAAAAGCGATTCGCGGGCGATGGCGATTCCTTCGTCACGGGCGGCTTCCTTGGAAATTTCCGAAGCCTTTCGCATTCTTTCCAAAATGTCTTGTGTAACATTAACGCCGGGAACTTCGTTATGAAGAAATTCGGCATTTCTAAAACTTACGAGAGGCCAGATTCCTGCAATGATCGGAATGCGGACGTGCGAAATTTTATCCAAAAATGAGCGAAGCTGTTCGGTATCGAAAACGGGTTGAGTAATTGCATATTCCGCACCGGCTTCGACCTTCCATTCAAATCTTTTAATTTCTTCTTCGAGATTGACCGCGCCGGGATTTACACCGACACCGATCGAAAAACTGGTCGGTTTGCCGATCGGATTATTACCTAAATCCAAACCGTGATTGAGCCGATTAACCATATTCGTCAAACCGATCGCGTCAATATCGAAAACTGCGGTGGCATCGGGATACGGTCCCATTTTCGGTGGATCGCCTGTAATAATAAGCAAATTTCGCAAATCCAAAGCCGCCGCGCCTAATAAGTCAGACATCATTCCGAGTAAATTACGGTCGCGGCAACAATAATGCAGAACGGCTTCGATACCTATTTCGCGCTCGATCAAAACGGAAGTCGCCTGCGCCGACATTCTGGTTTGCGCACGCGGACCGTCAGGAACGTTTACCGCATCAACTCCGGCATCTTTCAAAAGTTTGATCGAGGCAAGCGTTTTTTCGGCATCACAGCCTTTCGGCGGCAGAACTTCGACCGATGTCACGAATCTTGCGTTGGCGATCTTGTTTCCCCAATTTGAACGTTCGGCAAGCGGAACGACTGAAACATCTTCGGGCTTTAATTCCTGAACCGTTGCGGGCTGTTTAACGAAAACTTGGGCAGTTTGGCGCGGCGAAACGGAACGAATCGCGTCCGAAAGAAGTTTGATATGCGCTGGAGTCGTGCCGCAGCAACCGCCGATAAAGCTTGCACCGACTTGAATAAACCTGCGCGAAAATTCCGCCATATATTCAGGCGAACACATATACATCTGCCGACCTTGAACGTTGCGCGGAAGTCCTGCATTCGGTTGAGCGGAAAGTTTTTTGGTCGTTGCTTCGCGCATTTTTTCGAGCGCGGTCAAAAACAAAGCCGGACCGACGCTGCAATTCAACCCGATCACGTCCGCGCCCCAATCTTCGAGCCGTTTCGTGAAAATTTCGGGCGTTGCGCCGAAAACCGTATTGCCGTCCATTTGAATCGCAATTTGTGCAACGATCGGCAAGTCGGAAATTTCCTTCACGGCATTGATGGCTTGCTGAATCTCCGATAAATCCGAAAAAGTTTCCAGCACGAAAAGATCGATTCCGCCTTCTTTTCCTTCACGGCATTGATGGCTTGCTGAATCTCCGATAAATCCGAAAAAGTTTCCAGCACAAAAAGATCGATTCCGCCTTCGAGCAAGGCTTCGGCTTGCTGTTTGAACATCGCCTTCGCTTCTTCAAACGAAGTCGGTCCGTAAGGCTCGATTCTTAAACCCAGAGGACCGATTGTTCCGGCGACGAATACTTTATTTTCAGCGGCTTCGCGGGCAATTTTGACGGCGGAAAGGTTGATTTCACGCAGTTGTTTGTCCAAACCGAATTGCTGAAGCTTGTTGTAATTTGCGCTGAAAGTGTTGGTTTGGATAATTTCCGCACCGGCTTTTACGTATTCTTCGTGAACTTCGCGCACGAGGTCTTTGGCGATCAGATTCAGCTCATCGTAGGAACGATTAATGTAAATTCCTTTTTCGTAAAGACGCGTTCCCATCGCGCCGTCAAAAACGTAAATTCCGTCGGATTCGATTAATTCTCGAAAGTTTCGCATAGATAAAATTAAAAAGTCTCGCTTAAACAGCGAGACTTTTTTAAGATTTGTCTTTTTAGCTGTTTAGCGGCTTATTTTACGTGGTCGCAAGTCGCTCTAACTCACCACAAATATTAAGTGTAATAATGCTTTTTTCAATTGAAACTGTCAAGTTTACGCTTACTTTGCCCATTTTATCGGAAACATCGAGCCTGCTTTTTCCGGCGAGATGTCTATCCCTGACTGTTTGGCGGCAAATGATAGAACGGGGTCTTTCTGCGTTGCCAGATCAACACCTGTCGCCAACATCAAAACATCAGGCGAAACACCGGTTTTTTCCAAACTTTGACCATCAGGCATTATTAAATCGGCAATCGTCACATTTGCACCGAAATACAATATTGAACTGATACCGACCTGCATATCTTCAAATCTCGATTCCATGACGGCACCTGATGAACGGTCGCCGATGACTTTGCCGCGATTGTTCATCTGAATTATGCGTGCGAAAATTTCGGAAGCGGAAGCGGAATTGTTGTTTATAAGAACGATCAAATTGCCGGTAAAAATATCTTTTCCACGACTTTTAGCCATTAAGGGCTTGGTTTCCTTACGCGATTTTTCATCAGCAATTTTTATTTCCTTGTCGAAAAAATATCCGGTGAGGCGTTTCAATGCACTGACTGCGCCGCCGCCGTTATCGCGTAGATCAATGATGAGCGATTTATAATTTTTCGCTTTTCCCATCATGGTATCTATGTGTTGGTCGGAAACGCTGAAAGTGGACATTTTCCAAACAAACAAGTCTTTGTCAAATTCAAAATAACGGTCTTCGCCAACGTCCCAACCCTTTCTGATTAT